TGTGCTATTATTATTGAAAACTTGATCTGTTTTATTTCTGTGTAACAACTGATCATTTTTCATAAAATGCCACCAGCATCATTGCTTTGGTTTATTCTTTAATTTTTCTACTAGTCAGTGATATTTTGTTAGATTTCAATAAAATTAAATAAAATATGTATCCTTTAGTCTGTAATGTTTTCTAGATAGGGTAAAAAGGATGTGGTCGAATATTATTTTTTAAATATATTTACTTCACAAGCAAATAAATGTCAATTGATATTTTTCGTATTATTTCTATATATTTACCTCATGTTAAAGTTTAAAAATACATGTATACATGTAATCTTTTCTTAATTGAAGCGAAACAAAAAAGAAAATTGTTGATTATTGCAATTACATCATTTTTAAAGTAGAATTTAGGTGTCCTGAGTGTTTAAACGCTTATATTAGAATACTTTCACTAAAAAGGTTTTTGTGAAGCAGTGATCCTACTGTACAGCAGATTCCTATGCTGGTCGAACTTCAAGCTCATATTTAAATGAATAAAAAAATTTGGTATCCAAAAATAAAAATAAAAGTTTCGTAAAGTGGGAAACACCTGTAAAATATGTAAGCCTTAGCACTTAATTACCTTTTAAAGTTAAATTTTTCAAAGGGTCAAAATTGTGGGTACACAGGGATAGCTCTTTTGATGAAAATAACTTATGAATATTGCTGCCTTAATATTACCAATCGCTCTAATGATATTGCAAAGATTAAAATTTGATAAAATTTTGCGAAGGTGGGTCAAACTACAAGGTAAAGGTTAAAAGATCACATACGTCGGTACCCCAAGAAAGGTCATGTCAAAATAAATACATGTAAAATATACAAGCCAGAGCTCAGATCAATCAGAAAGATTTTTACAAGCATCAGATAAACAGAAAGACAGAAAGTCGGACTGAGTAAAAACTAAATACCCTAGAACCTATGATTAAGGAAGCATAAAATTACGATAATAAGGTAGTCCTCTTTGTGCTGATGAAACATTGCGTCGTCACCAGAGATTTCTTTGTTGTTCCAAGGTGTGTCTTTTTCTGGATCCGCTCCCACGACCAGTTGTTCTCTGTTACCTTTTCCACTGATCTTCTCCAGGTCTGTTTTGGTCTCCATCTCTTATTCTTACCGATTGATGTTCATCGCAATGTCACCGTTGGGATGGAGGTTGGGTGCAACCTACATATGTGTCCTATCAACAGCCATTTTCTTTTCGTTATAACTAGGGGTGGTAATAGTCCTTCTGTATAATTCTTTATTTGAGGTGGAATCAGGCCAAGAAATTAGAAATTGCAAAGCTAACTGTTCTGGAAAGCACCTAGAGATAATTAGTTTTTAATCAAAGTATAAAATCAATTGGATCAAGTTATTTTCAGAGAAAAAATATTCATGAAGTTTCTTGTGTTTGAAAAGTTGCAGATTTCTGTTTTAGAAATCTTTAGACATAATTAAAGATGCTGGTTTAATTAAACGTTGTAATATGTTCTTGCATAATTAAAAAGTATCCTTCCAATGTAAAATTAATAAACATTTTAAATCATTTTGATGAATCTACTGCAAAATGTGTGCATTATTGCTGAATAATCTACCAGATGTTTCCTTGGAAGAATACAATGAGTTTGTGAGTAATCATATAGCAAAGGAGCTTAATTTAATCATTTAGAAAATATTGCCTGATTATGTGCTTTCAAAATATATTATATTTAAGTCCATGGCTACACAATTGGCATTTTAACACTTCATTTTGATTTTTACTCTCCGAATCTTTTTATTACCTCATGCATCTTGCAAACAATTTTAAAGAGTCTATTTAACTTGTACTGAAATCGAAGAAATTGTCAAATCTGTGAGATATAAAATCTTTCTGATTATTTGAGATTATTTGAGTTAAGGGCTTTTGAATTGATTTTCAAAAGATTATACATCACATGCAACAATTTCTATAAACCATCACTTTAAACACGTGGTATTCAAGTTGGATACTTAATTTCTACACTTGGTATGTTTTTGTTCATAAACGAAGCTACGACATGCACATCTCAAGTACATTTTGTTGGCTAATATGCATATGTGCATCTTTGTATTTAGTGAGCTCTTCTTCAACATACGGTACCAAAACTGGTGAGTAGCATAATGAAAATTTCATTATACCTCAATTGCATAGCCCACTTTGTGCAGTAGGACAACAAATACGCTCAAAGCAATGGTTGCAGAAAGAAAAACGGATCTACAGGCGTCGAAGAAAGTTACATATCTCTTTTTGTGTAATTTGATTTTTCAGGCTAGTAAAACATACTAAATGAATATCATTTTTAAGTCGATAAGTTCGCCATCTTGCTTGTTACCAAATTGTTTAAAAAGAACTATCTTTAGTTTTTAATGCAAAATTACTAAAACGATCATGTGATGCAAACAAAACTCATTTTCAGTTGAAAAATATAGCATTTGATGAAATTTTTGATGACGACATTTTTTTTAACAATATGTATGATATATGTCAAGACTAATTTTGAGTAATTATATTAAAATATTGCTTAAGCATATTGTGTTTACTCTTTTTTTATCCATTATTCCCATGGATTTTTTTCTTTCTCGATGGCGAGATAAACTGCTGAGTTTGCTGAGTCTTACGACATTGATGACGTTTAGATTAATTTTGAATTTCAATTTGATTGGCCTATTTTCACGTTATTTTAAGTTACTGCCCTTAGACTGGAAGTTTCTTATTATATCAAGGTAAACTTAACTTTTTGCGCCGCGATTTTGGATAATTTGATTTGTATTGCTATGTTTCTTATTTGTTAAAAGAAATTCCAGATCTATAATAGATTTTAATTTCACCAAAGTCGTTACAATTTTATGGATTTTTTTTAAATAAAAAAATATGCTTGTGAAAACAATCGGAAAGGGAAAAGTGTTCCAACAAAAAAAAAAGCATCTTTAGATTATTCTTACTTACAGTTTTGTAATTGCATTTCAGTTCTTACTTTAGACTTTAAATATTAAAAACTTGAACGTTTGCGTGGACATTCGTGTAATTTTAGTGGAGGGGTGCATATGTTTTTGATATTATGAAAGAATGCTTTTAAAACAGTCACTTTAATAGATAACACAAGACTGGGCAGTTTCCATCGGGGAAAAATGTCAAATAACCTACCCCTTTTGTTTTTCGAAAATCAATTAAATGCGTTTAATTAGCGATCGCTTTAAACGACCTTAATAAAAAAAATATACCCCCTACCTAATTATAAACAAGGTACACATTGGCCGCCATCTTGAATTTTTCTAGGTCGGTTATATCCGCTTGTATTTTCGTCTAAAAGTGTATAACTTGTGACAAGACCTTCCTTTGGGTACCAAGAATTTTGACTTTTGACCTTGAACTTTTGAGTTTGATATGCATTTGAGAAAATTCAATCCCCGCCAGAAGCTGCCATGCGTGGACATCAGCGTTTCACAAACACATCATATTCCTCATCTAATTCCTTATAATTTTGGACAACCATGCATTTACATTGACACTCTGATAATACGAGTACGGACTTGGGAGAAATATTGAAATCTAATAGAGAAATAATACCATATTAGAGTTTTCGTTGGCATACAGAATGTTATCAACATGCTCTTATATATGCAAGATTGTACTTTGTGGTTCTTGTTGCTATAACAATTGTAACCTTGCATTACAACATGTATAAATATGAACTCGTTCATTTTTGATAAATCTGATAAGGTAACCAAAACAGTTGCTTGCAATTTTAAGTGTTTGGGTATATTCTGGGTTTTCTCTTATTTTTTTCTTTTAGCTCTTTGTGATAAAATCCATGTGAAAAGGTGATAATTTATTTCTTAAGTTAATTTTAAGAGTATTTGATCTCTCTACTGATTACAAACGTGTAAAATGTTTTTCTTCAAAATAACCAACTGTCTACTTGAATGGTGGTTGTTATGTCAAATAAAGGTATTTTTTGTATATTTTTCACGTAATATCCAATTCATTTTTTATTTCAAAAAGGGATATATTCTAGTAGCTAAGCATTTTTGAGTGCATCAGATATCGGAAATGGAGCTTCTTTTCTTCTTCCTTGTCAGTATTGTTATTTTCTCTGGCTCATTAGTAGATAACAAAGGAAATTGTATTATAAATGGAACAACATACAGTTATTGCCAGCTTGTAGGTTGGACTGAATGGACCACCTGCACCCCTTCTTGTTATAGTGGTGGACTTGTTCGCAAAATCATTGTCTGTTGTCCGCCTTCATTAGGATCGAAAACCAACACGACAGTTGGCACATGTTTTTCGTATTGTAACATATCCACTACTGTGATAACAAAAGTTTCCGGTAAGGGTAATCATTTACATGATTGAATTGTTTTGTTTCCAGTTCTCTTTCTGCCTCTTTTAAGAGCTGTTGGGCGTATGTTATTTGTCGATAAAATGAAAATACAGAGATGACAAGGACAATCTTTTGTTCGAGAAACACCAGCTTTTAGTTAGGCAGACGGCCCTCCGAGAAAGTTTTGTTTTCTTCAAAATGATGGCATTCCAAATGCCTTTTTGAATATTTTTCTGTCCTTTTGAACACTTAAGTGGATGGACTTTTGCTGGGATGAATTTTGCAACTTTCATACTTGTAAATATTGAATATTCTTTCTTCCTTAATTCTATAATTCTATTTCCATTTGGCATCCTCCAAAGAAACCCCTCTTTCTTAATTAAAGAAAAAAGTTGTAAAAAAACTTTTTAATTAAAAGATATTAGTGCGAAATGGTCAGGATTTTATCAAATCAGTTGAGTAGTCACTCTTTTAATGAAATTTCTTGTACAAGTGAAACTAGTGCAAAATACGATGCCTTTTATTCATAATTGTTTTATTATTACGGAATCGAGTTTCAAATGAAAAACATCCAAGATAATGGACTGGATTGAAGATGTTTTCTATATTTTCCATGAATTTTAAGAATATCAATCTGTTTTGTAGGATCATCGACAAAGAGCAGTGGTGGAGCTAATACTGTCAGACCATCCAACAGCAAAACAACTGGTACACCACTTGGTAGTGAGTATACAGCATTCGAAGTATAGAACATTATTGTGTTAATGCCAATAAAATTAAATGGATTTAGTTTAAATGTTTAGCGTCAATGATGCAAAGTAATGATTCTTTGAATGTATGCGATAATTTTATGAAGAAAAAAAAGGGTTTCATAAAACATTGATTTCTGAGAGGAACTACAAAATAATCCTCATAAAATTATCTGAAACTTGTTTCATCAAGTATATCATTTCATACACACTATGCAGTTGCTTAATTTGACTCTGACTTATTAGTAGATGATCATGGAAATAATATTATAAATGGAACAATATACGGTTATTTTGCCCTTGTTGGTTTGGATAGACCACGTGCTAATCATCTTGTCATAGTAGTGGCCTTCATTTATTCCTAAAGTTATCTGTAGTCCTCCATCTATGGGATGGATAAAGAACACGACATTTCATATGTGTTTTAGTATAAAATTTTGATATTGTATTAACAAAAGTTTTTGGTAAGGAAACTACCGGTATATATATTTTAAAAATAAGTGGTTTTTAAGTCAATTTCTGAAGCACTTTCTTATTGGTACTCGCTCCTTAAAAACTGCTTGTAAAAATAAAAGTACCGGATACTGTCATAAACGATGTCTTTTATTCATGAATATTTTTAGTTAGAAAATTAAGCAGAAGGTGTAAAACATGCATGTGCATGGACTAGATGTAGGGTAGCTTTGCATTCCCTCTAGAATTTTAAGGACGTCAATTTGTTTCGTAGGATCAACGACAACGAGTGTTGGGACAGTTGGACCTCCTAGTAGAACAACGATTGGTGGTGAGTTTCGGCATTTTTAATATAGTATTGTATGACGGTATTAGAATTTAATGAAATCTCCTCCATTTATTTTTAATGTTTGACATCTTATTTAAAAAGCAAAGAAATGATTAATTGAATACATATGAGATTGCTTGATTAAGGAAAATAAGCATTATTAATAATTGAGAAAAATATTTTTAAAAAGATTATCTAAAATTAATTTATTACAGAGTACAGTTTTACATGTCGAATGCAGTTGCTAAATATAAAAATACTGAACATATAGAACTTGATGATGTAGAGATATTTTATGCTCTTTATCTGTTAATGTGCCCAATGTCCCATGGACATTAATTACAGATGAATTAATCAACTCAAATGTGATCCAAATACGCTGTTCTATACTTAAACTGTAAAGTGAATAAAGGAACGGTACGTAACCTATATATGAAAAAGGGAACGAAAGTCATTCTGAATTTACACGGGGCTGATCTGAAACACACCCTTTTTATGAAAATTCTGTACAGTCAGTGCAATTACAAGTGGAACAATTGCGGAATAACTTTTCCTAAAGATATATAAACGCTCTCTTATGAAGCTTTTAAGTCGCGTCTCAAAATTCCCATGCCGTAACATACAAGTTAAGGCAGAGAGCTTCCAAGATTCAGTATTTTAATTAGGTCCGAAAATACTTTTTGAGAGATCTTTTGAAACAATCAACTACCACGCCCAATAGCATGTGTTGTCTGTTCTGAGTTTAGCTGTGAACGAAAAAAAAATCCCTGTTCTATTAATCGGAGAGATAATGGGGAAAAAAATCAACAGAGAAATTATAATGTTTAGTGAAAGGCTGAATCTAAAGTTTACGTAAAATCAGCTTTGGAAAAGCTTCAAAATTGAACTTAATGATCAATAATGGTCTCTTCATAACAAGCAATGACTCACACAACTGGATGTGAAGCCAGTCTAACCAAACTTAAACGAATACTTAAATGATATGTAGTAGGTCCAACATAAAAAATTAATTATCACAGAATACATACATCTATGAGATTTATATGCCAAGTGGCAATGAACGGAAATCAAAATCTTTTAATTTCAAATAATTTTAAATAATTTCAACATTTTGTTCGTTGACTTAAAAAGTGTGAGTTTTTTTAAAAAATTGAAATGGGTGATTTAAGATGAAGGAAATACGAAATGGGTGATGGAAAAAATTTTGACCATTTTTTATTTTAACAATTGTTGAAGATGAGAGATATTTTTTTTCCTATTAAGGGGTCTTTGAGTGTAAACATTTTATCGAACTAATAGAACAGATTAAAATTCAAATCTTTATATTTTTACGCCTCTAACAAATCTAAATTCTCCTGGTATGTTCAGGGCATAAGTCTTCAAAAATGAACTTTTCAGTATTATTTCCAAAGCTTGGCTTCTGTTCTACTTTCTAATGTAAACACTATTCAAGAAATAGATTTCAGTGTTCGTTCAACACCAAAATGACACGAACAAACTCAATGGCCTTGTCAAGAAATTCATATTCTCTAATAGTTATTGCTGATAATAAATACCTTCTATATAGTAGAATCAAAATCCTTCTCTAATACTATCATTATTAAAGTACACAACGAAAGACCAATAACTGCATGTTTCTCAGTATGGAAGAATCTATGATGGATTGTTCAATTAAAATTGTAACGGAAGAGTCATCTGTTAATAAATTTTATGCCTTTCAGTACATGCCATGTTCATTTTCCCTCTTGACAAGACCTATAAGCATGTTCCTTCAAGTACATGTAATAAAGGTTTTCTTTTTCATGGATTTGGTAATAATCTGTAGTGGAACTTGTAACTCAGTTTGTAGTGTGAGAGGTTGGGGTCCATGGACAAGTTGTTCTGTAAATGGAACTCAGTCTAGACAAAAATCGTATTGTTGTCCTCAGGGAATAAAAAATATTGACGAATGTCTCAAAAATTGTTCAATTATACCCGAAACTCCGGAGTCTCAGAAGTGTGTTCCTCAAAAGTCATCAACGGTCAATCATGGAACAATTAATTCAACACCAAGGGTTTTTAGTAAGTAGGAATATTTTGATTGTTCCAAAATTAATGTTGGAACAAATTTTGGTTTTTACCTGATGCCGTAAATATGATAGTTTTCTAATTATTAATGTCTAATTTTAACCTATTTAGATTTTTTAATAACTGTTTTTGTTTAAGTATTATTTGGAAGAAAAGACATTTTTGTAGTTTGCCAGATAAAATTTTTCCTGACTTAAAATGCATGAAAATAAACTCATTAGGAAAACGACGTTCCTAAGAGAGGGAATGTCGTACTAACAAAATGTTGCTGAATCAAAACCTAATCAGTAATTTCAACAATAATTCAAATAACTATAGAAAATAAATACCCATAAAAATATATGTAAATGTGTATAACACATCAAAAACAAAATCAATGTTTAAGCTCACAGGATGGAAAGTTTTCATAGGTTAGTGAAGGAGTGCGATTAAAATAAATTTCAGAAAAAAAAATTTTACTGACATCTTTAGTGGGTAGTGAAATACATTCGATCTGCTTTAGAATCAGTACATTAAAAAGTTTGATTTTGTGTCACCACAATAGCTTTTAACCAGTCTGTATTTGATATTTTCTTTTCAGTAAAGCTGTTCAAATTTCCAAGTTTCAAAAAAATATATAAATAGTTCATAATCTTCGGTATGCAATAGACCTATGATTTCTGCTGCACATTCCCTTTAAAACTTTAAATACATCTTCTGTAAACTTAATCGTATACATGATCAAATATAATTTCAAAGCAACATTTTATAAATTTTAAGATTCATCTTTTTTTTCATAATTGGTAATTTTGTACATATACATCATGATTTCAAATTAATCCATGGAGAAATCTGTGTAGAATTTAATGTGCTTACCTTTCCCAAAAAATCATTATGTTGATGATATTTATACGAATTTCTGAAATGGCGTATTTATTTTCCAATTAAGCTTCATAGCGAGAAATTAAGAACACTTCAAATAAAGATAAATATGTTTTTATCCAATCTTTGCTAAATAGGTTATATATTCAGGTTCACTCTCCTTGGACATGACATTAGAATTGAACGAAGAGCTCTTGACTCCTATAAGTATATCATTTGTCATTCAAAAACATCAGATTACTTGTCTTTGGTTTGTAAAATGCCTCCATATCTATAAATTTTTAGATTTTCCCTTCAGTTTTCTTTTTGTCATGAAGCATGGTAGCTGTTCGTTTTATTGTGGTCCTAATATGTTTAGTTCTCCAGCTTCCCTTGTATTTAAAATGTGCTGCCCCGGACTGCACATACCACAATGTATCATATTCTGTTTGTGACTTGATGTTTTGGACACCGTGGACTGTATGCAATGGTGTTAATTGTCCTATTGGTCAAAGGCAAAGATTCAAAAGTATTTGCTGTGTGCGTATATCAAAGAATGAAACAAAACAAGTGATTAAGCAAAGATGTATGAAAACTTGTCATTTAACTGAAAATGATTTTAAGGATCATTCTCCATATGTTCCACCAAAGGGTATGTGTATTGAGATATTCAGCTACATGGTAGAATACTAGTATACAGTGTATTTATCCTTATAAATATGATAATATTTCTTTTGAAGTGTAAATAGATCGAGGCAAGGGGAGGGGGAAAATTGTTTTTTTTTTTATTTTCTTCTTCACATTAGCTTGGGTGCATTAAAAACAAGTGATACAATTTTTTTAAAATCTTCTTTATATGTGGACATCTGTCGAGGGAAAATGATACAATAATCAATTTAAATTACGGAAAGCTCTATCAATATTTGGGTTTTTTTTCTTTTAGTTTTAAAGATGAGTACCCAGATAAAGTTCAGAAAAATACGTACGAAAACTATTAAATACTTATCTTTTGAAACATTTCTTCGTATTGGCCATGAAGGAGAATTGCTTGGTATACGTAATTATGATCTCTACTTATACTCCATTTCTATTTAATTTGCAATATTAATCGTAAAAAAACATATTTGAACTTAATTAACGAAATAAAAATGGAACCTTTGTCATACAATTTATTGAAGGGCATTTCTGATGAAACATATGAAGATAACGAACAGTAATTAAGATCAAAAGTCCATAAAACCATACAAAATAGGAGCAGAGCAAACATGGACCTCCAAATAGAGGAGTGAGCATCCCCTGCCTACCGATCACATCCGCCGTGTGCTCCTTGTCATGATCGGGAAATAACGGGAAAATCCGTCGTCAATTCAGGGTATAAATAATGGACTCGCAATAAGTAAGAAAAACGTCAGTCAGTTTGACTCAATGATAAATCGTATTTGCTGACAAGGTCATTGTATCGACCATAGAACTTATGAAAAGATTACTTTAAACGACACTGCTGATATTCTTGTTTCATCAACTTCTTTGAAATTATTTACCTCGTTTTAGAAATTGTTCATACGTACATGTAGAACATGCTCTTGCGTAACGAATCAACTGAGATACATAAACTCCGTTTGCAGATGCAGGTGATGAAGGTATATTGCTGCATAAGTAAGGGAAGTTGACGATAGAAAAGTTAAATTCAACACGTTTATCATTGAGCTTGGTTGTTACATTACCATTAACGTCTTTTTCTGTAAAATATCCAAATATGAAACCGATGTGTCAGACTTCTTTTATCTCAAGCTCACCTGGATATACAGAATCGACATAGGAATGGAAATTACCATTCAATTTGTTAATTGACAATACACCCCTACTAATGTTATTGTGATTTAAATTCAAGACACGTGGCTTAGGTTTACCTATTCGAAGGTTATAGGATAGAACCGGTTTTATAAATAAAAATTGGCAGTAAATAGGAAATTGCTATAGTCTGTTTCTTTTGAAAACATGTCCTGTGAAATCTCTATCCAGACCTTTTTCTTTTTTCGGTATTCTGCAAATTTAAAACCGTAATAAAACAGTGGCTCTGGCGAGAGTACTTGAAC